CCGCCCCGCACCCCCCCTCAGATCCCTATGTCCAGAACCGGTATAGTCTATCTACTTTTTATCCCACACAATACGAGCCCATTTAACTTTGGCCTCCGTTTAGACGTAACTGGTCGCGGTCAATTCAGTTTTGGGGGTCGCCCTTTTGAGAAATAACCGATCGTCCAGCCGCCCGGAAGCCGCAACACATCCTACAGCGGAAAGGGCCCGTATTTATCACCCCGATGGTTTTCTTGGAATGTTTCGATGACCATTTGTCCTAGCCATAGAAATCCTCAGGTAATTGGAGACCTGTCACCTGGAGAATCCAATGCCGATGGACTTTCATGGCTAGAACAAATGGTGATCAATAAATTCCAAGAGAACCACAGGGGTGGCAAACAACGGCCCTTTCCACTGTAGGAGCCACAAGAGGTGAGAAAAACCCGGAAAACAAGAATAGCGACTTCTGGCCTTTCACAGGGGCCTAGAAGAATCGCAAATTACCTGAAACATGCAATACCAATGGATTTCAATGGTTAGGATAAATAAACCACCAAATTAAATGGCATAATTACAAAAAGATCTTCAGTTAATATGAATGATTCATTTTATATTTTTCATCATAAGTTACTCAGACTGGGAAAGGATCATTACATTTTCTGATCCCTCTTCAATTTATGCTGATCAGTTTTGCCAACCATTTTTTTCGTCTCATCAGGGGAGCTCGTCCTTTTAGTCTAGGGTACGTCTCCAGGACCTTAAGAATGTGAATATGATGGATCATGCTTGATTTTCCATGGTACTTTTCCCAAGGCACAACGTATTAGCTGCAACTAGCGACTAGAGGATATTGGAAAAAAGAATGAATACGAAAAATTTGATGCAATATAAAATTTCTAACGTAGTAATTCCTCATTGTGTAAAATCGAATGAATTTGTCCGAAAAAAGGGCAGTTTTTGAATGTTTTATAAATTTATTCAGTTCATCACTAGATATTGCAAGAGGCGAACGAGATAGTTTAAAGTAGATAGGTACATCAATACAGATAGCTAATTAAGAATTGACAATTGAAACAGGCCTCTTTTGGAGGATTATTGTAGCACTATATAATTTATTTTTATAAAATTCAAGGCAGAAGGCCTATACCTGATGCGGCCTGAGTCAAGGGTTGTCAGGGCTCATGAACCTCTTATCAAATCGACAAAAGTTAAAGTTTATTGGGCGCCAGTTAGTTTATCGTTTCTAACAGGATATACCCGACCATCTCAAGGAATGGAAAGCTGGAGAAACCGAAGTCAACTCAAAGAGAGGAAGCGAGAGAGAGAGAGGAAATTAAATACACTGGAGTATTATGGTTACTTACAAATTTAATCTACAGATATTACTTCACTTCCAGTAATTGACTCTCACACTCAGATACAATCGAAGGAATAATTAATACAACAGAATATAATTTAAGACAATCGCGACAATACTCGGATCGGACGGACAATATCGGGGCCGTGCACAGAGTCCCCGTGTCGAGTCAAGAATGTCCGAAAATTGACCTGTTGCATGTTCGTCATGGATCAATATTTTAATGCATGCGCTTCGAAATTGTTCGGCGTAGGATTTCCGAGCTCGAAGAAAAATTGTCGACTGAAGGGAAAACTTAATGTCTCCCTTAACACAATCTTAAAATCCAGTGCTGTTATGCAAACTCCCACTGCGAGTTATATTCTGAATTTCATAATTTAAGCATGCTACACTGTTTCAGCCAAAATTACCATTTTTTTAGGTTCTCTGACAAATTCTGGATCGGATCGACCAGAAAAGATACAACTTATTCGCATTTTGGTAAATGTGTATATTAGGGGCCTCAGCCCCGATTTGTTTGAAATTTTTTAGAGTCAGTTATTGAGACTCCTTTATCTTTCTCCTAAATTTTCAGAGGCCGAAAATGCGTTCAATGCGAGATATTAATTATTTTGTAATAAACCGACGGTAGTGGCCGTGCGGTTAGAGTGCTGGACTAGCATGCCAAGGATCCGGATTCGATCCCGGGCACCGGCGGTCAAAAATATATAGCGCTCTGATCTCACGGTTTCACTGTCGAGCGGTAGTCCTGTCAAAAGGACGACTGTACCAGGGCAGGTTTTTCCCTCAGATGAGGTTTTCCCTCCCTTTCAGCAAATGCGGTACAGGGGGTTGGGGGGTGGGAAGGGAACAAATCGTAAAAACCCGAAAGGGTATACGAGTGAAAGAAAATTTTTTTTTTTTTTTATTTTGTAATAATATTCTCTATTCTCGCTTACCGTATATGTCCATCGTCGGTGTGTCATATCTCATTCTCCCGTCTGTTATTGTTTTTGGAAGGCTGTACTGTGTCGATATGGTTCGTTCGGTCTCCCCCCTCTTGGTCTCGCCTCTAACTCGCAAGTTGACTCGCGTGGCTAGCGGGTTTCTCACCTGAGGGATAATCTCTATTGTTTTCCGCCATTCCTCTTAAAGGCAATAATATTACACTATTTTTTCAATACTTTAGAGATTTATATTTATGTAAAAACACTGTACAGCCCTGCACTTTACTTTTGATTCTTCTTTTCAGAATCCATCATTTATCCACCACCCCGCATAAAGGGAGTGGAATGGGTCTTATGGTAGAAAGACATCACGTTTTGGTACAATTAAGACAAAGGGCAACACTTAGATGTGGATGAATTTCAGTCAGTGTTTTTAGGTAATGGCTTTGGGGGGTAATGCTTTGCCACTGTTCTGAAAAATGCATCAAACCTTTCGCTGTACCGCCCGTTTGAACATAAATTCCGCCAGGTATCCATGGAAGTGTTCCTCTCTCACGCCATATCTCTGGATCATATCCTTTACGTCTCTCCATTTTTGCTCAATGTTTTGTGTATGAGCTCAGTTTTTTGAATCCACAAAAATGATTGAGTGGTTAACAACTAAGTCTTGGAACCCCTCATGCTCCAGTTCTTGGTATGCTTTCCAGCTCTCTGATACAATGGCAGTTCCGGGCAGAATCCTGTCTTTGATAATTCTCACTAAGGTTGCAGCACTCCTGTTCTTCACAACGGTGATAGCTAGAGCGCCACTTTCTCTTTCAATTGCACCAAGCACCCATCTTCCACGTACCACACGGCCTCTGTTGTATTTATGATGGCCAATTTTTGACTCATCTACCTCGACAATCTTCCCCGGGCTTCCCAACTTCTGAGTGTGGTCTTCACACCAGTCGATGAGAGTTTTCCGAATGAAATTCGACCAATCAACAACTTTTTTTTTTGTTGAGGTCCAGCTCACTGCACAGGAAATCTTGCCGAGGGGGGTTCATATGTAAGTATAGTACTATGAACCTTATAGTTGTGGGTAGTGATATCCGGGCTTGTCAGAACCATGATCCACTCAGCACACTAGCTTTAGTGTCACATTGGGAGTTGCCTTTCCTCCGATGCGAATCATAGTTGACTGTCCTCTTCCTGCATCGGAACTGCATTTCATCGGCACTGAATTTCATACGCATGGGGCATTTGCGGTATTTCACTTCACTTGTTAACACTTTTAAATTCCGTAAATGTTCGATAAGATGCGATTGATTCGTACACAAATCATGGACCTCGAGGAGCTTCATGTTCACTGCTCACTGGAAAACGCGAAACTGTTCACTACGGGACACTTGTATTACTTCTGTGCTGTAATTATTGATTCGGTCGTTGCCTTTAATCCTCTTGTTATTGTTTTTGGTGAATACAAGTTCCCACTGGATTGAGTGTACTTGGTAATACTACGCAACCTTATGATATTTTTTTCACTTAAAACTAGTGTAAAAAGACAAACCACCCGCCAATTCCAACTGCAATACGTTTTTCAACCGTCGGAGATCAGTTTTTTTTATCAGGTTGTGTGCGAAAACCAGCTCTTTTTCCGTTATTTCTACCTGAAATAGTTGAGGCCCCCAATATACACATTTACCTGAATTTTATCATTATTTAATGACCGCCAAAATTTCATAATCGTGCCGTAATTCTGTTGCGATTTTTATAAACATTCAAAAAATTCATGTAATTCTAGACAGATTATTTTTTCGAATAATTTAGATCAAAAATTTGTCGGAAAACTCAAAATTCTAGAATTTTTACTAACCGGGGCAAAACTTCCATAACGTATTACACTCATAATTTCATCTAATGATGCTCATTGAAAAGGCACTGCCAACATCTTTTTAATATTGGCAAAGAACAGAAGATACGCACTAGTTAATGATGGCCAACAGAATATATTGTAAGATTCTCATTCTGATGGATATTTTCATTCATATTTCTACACGGGACAGTAAACACGGTGGTGGCAGTTGCTCCTCTTCGTGGCTCGTAGTTATGATTTCCTCCCACGTAGACCGGGCCTACTTGAAATGTCCGTATATGAAATGGAAAACGTTCATTGGAAGACGCTGGTCGAGTAATCAGAAAAAACACTACATGGCCAAGAAACATAATCCAGACAGAACAGCCTTTCACAACAGATTCTCGAATCCATTTGTCTACTATGAATGTGATGACCAAAACCTGGAAAATTAAAGACTCTAATGTATTAAAAAAAATCTTCATAGTAAATTATGAATTGTCCCATTACCGGTAATTATAATTATAAGATAACCTCGTCGCAATCGCGATAACCAGGTTATGTTAAATACACAAGTAGCAATGTTCGGAATCATGAATTGCAATTTCTTGATGGAATGTATTGATATGGCATGATATTTTGCCAAATCCACAAGACATGAGCATTGTGTAATACTTTTTCCTGAGAACGCATTACAAGAGAGAACATTTCATGGATAAATACACGGTTTGTAACGTTTACCAGTTACTGTTTCTCGATCGGCTCGCGTTATTTAGAGGACATCCACCAGACGGGAAGCCACGGCGAGAATTTTCGAGAGAGGAGAACTGATATGATTCTGATCCTGTTTATATTTTTATTTTGAATTAAATTTACGCGCTTCTGCGCTCTTTCTGAGGGCATCATCGAGGATCCTGAGGACGATGGCGTCAGGTGCCGTTACATTTTTGCCAGTCTCTGGATGTGGCCGATGATGGAGCCACAATTCAGACATCGATTAGCACGGAAGTAACGTAGTTGCTGTGCTCGAGGTTGATTGGCTCGAGGCTGATTGGCAAATAATGGAAAAGAGGATTCAACGAATTCAAGGAGAGTTACTATTCTCTTAAGGTGGTTCTGAATGTGAAAATTAAGTTGGGTGTCGTTAGGTACTGCTGAGAATTTATTATCATGTATTAGGGGCTAGACAATTAATGTTAAGCATCGCTGAATTAAATGGCACATGCGTGGATAATTATTCACACATGTGGCGCATGTCTGGTCGTTTTAGATTGGTAAATGATGACGCTGTCATCACCACTCACAATTTTCGCCGCGTTTGTTACCTGTTGCTTCGAGTTCACGTTTTTTCAGCCGATCGAGTCCAGGACTATTTGTGAATTATTCTATCGGTGAATATGTGGCCCCATTTCTCTTTTTCCCTCTCTCTCTCTCTCTCCCTCTCTGTATATTAATTTTGAAATTTTGATAATCGTTGTGCAACATATTTTTGTTGAATATTTATTTGTTCGAAACATTTGAATTATTCAGTGAATGATTAGTTTCATGACTTTGAATTATTTTAAATTAATTCTCGTGAATTGATAGAATGTCTTGCCATTGAAATTTATTTCACTTCTTTTGATTTGAAGGTCTCGTGACCGCGAAAGTATTTGTTTCGACTTTAGGAATTTATTGAATATTTCTTTTATTCGGGTCACATAGAGTTATCGATTTTTGTGTCACTGGAGTTTCAAGTCATTGAATTTATTTTTCGTTTCTTTTAGATTTACTAATTTAAAACTCTAACTCTTCCGACCACTAATAATTGAGTTTCGTAACGCGGTTGCTAGAATATTTTAATTAACTCTAACTATTTTTACTAACTATTTATTTATTTTTTCTTCCTTTTATAGTTAATAGACTTTGTAGCGGCCGGGCTACTTGAGACCTAGCTGGACGGCTAACTAGTAATTATGTCTCAGAGACACACTTCTTGGATCGATGATCTGAGCGCAGAGAGCGAGTCTGATACAGGGATTTTTGAAACGCTCGTTATTCCGTCAAATAACATGGCGCCTGATTTTGGATTTGAGTTATTTTGGGGTGTTTTAGGGCCAGAGGGCCGACTGATGGACGGACCGTTCCGTGAATCTCCCGAAATTACGTCGCAGAGTATATGAAAAATAATACAAAACTTGTACAGGTATTTTCGCCTATTTTTCGACTCCAAGAAACGCCCAAGAAACGCCCTTGCGAATTATGTTCTGAATTCCATTATTGCGAATTGGATGTCCATCACGCTTTCATGCGTGGGTTATGGAAGCCGCCTTTTAGACAAGGCACGTCTGTACCAGAAACTTGTCTATAGCTGAATATACAAATGTCGAACTAAGACCAGGGACGGCGCGGTGCTGGGCAAGATCCACCTAAACTATTTTCCTCAAAGTAATGACGTGCCTTCTCGAACTGTAATGACATATGAGTCTTTACATGCCGGTCAGCACGTTTCTTCATTCCCGGCGGGCTTCCCATTCGAGTTCCAGCTTCTCATCTACGACTCCTCCAAATCTCTTAAGCCTTTTTTGCCATAGTTCCGATACGTTTACATATAAAATGTGGGAGTGGATCATTCAATTACCCACACAGTCGATCAAAGCAACGGAATCGTATAAGAGCGCTCTTCCTTTCAACTGAATGTTGGTCTCTATGATAAGTCAGACTAAGCTTTGGAATCGCTCGGTTAAACCGCCTGAACGCTGGCCGCAGTTTTTTCTATCACATGCTGGGTATATTCAAAATGAGACCCATTTTCCTACAGATTTATTAGACATTGGACATGGACATTTTCTGTGATTGAGGACAGCGGTACATAGCAATACTCCCCTTGAGCAGGGCAAAGAAACACGAATGCACATGGTATTTCGTCCTCGCCAGCAGAACACACAAAAATACGGGGCCCTTGGCGATAAACCAATATAATTAAAGGTCAGGCGCCAGGACGTTTTTAATAAAACGGACGAAACTCAAAACCAAAAAAAATTAAAACCAGAACAGCTACCGACCAGTCAGTATGACTAATCGTAGAGGTGGCTGCATTACTATTACTGTCCTGCCAAGATTCTGATATGGCTGGGTTGATTCTCTTTCAAGTAAATTCAAAATTACGGGGTAGAAAGATATTTCATATGATTCAAATTAACAAAAAAAAAAAATAAGTTAAATAACGCCGACTTACTCTCTCAAAATTCGCATATCATTCTCGCTAACATTAGGTAATAAATTATTTGAACAAAGGAACAAGCAAATATTTCAACTAACCAATTATCAAATGATAAAATACTATAAGCAAGTCAAAATAATCAAGAATATATGAGTCAGGATTTTGAGTCAAATAGTAGAACAACTGGCAAGGAACTGGGACGATTTACTGTGGTAGAGGAATCTACCATTACTAGAAGGATGAGTGTATCCACTACTGCAGACAGAAACTGATGAAAGAGAGTTCAGCAATGGAGAGGAGGGATGCTTGGAGAAAGTGCAACCAACGTTACATTGATGGCGTTACGTTAAAACAACTCGAGCATCCTATTTTACTACAAACCCACTCTAAGTCCCGATATTTTTAGAGAAATGTAATAAATAAATTCGTCAAATATAGGTGGGTTCTCAAGCCACAAAAATTAACATTAGACAAGTTCACGTCCTCGATATTTGCCCAAAATCTGCAGTAGTCGATTCACAATGAAGACCGATAATTAGACAAAGCAGACTCAATTAAAAAAGTAAGCTAGGTGGATCCAGACGTCTAAACAAGAAGTGCTCGTTGATGATCTAATGACAATGCTCAATAGGTGACGAAGCCAGCCGATGCCGTGATTGGTTCGTCATCGGCATGAAATTTAGCGAATTTCGAGTAAAAGTCCACCTTGACGTCTAACAAATTCGAGTAGTCGAGAAATTCTTTTATAAATGAATACTCAACCTACCAACTCTACATTTTCAAGTAAGATAATTCATTCTTTTGAGTTTAAAATTTTTAAGAAATTTTTTTATTTTGGAAACGTATTTTAATTAAATACGGTTTCTGATAAAATATGTTGCTAAAGTGAGCGGGTATTTTTATTGGCCAAAGGAAGTAAGTAAAAAGAAAGACGGTAAGCAGCCATTTACTCCCTAGGGCAATAAAAGTATAAGGTTTAGGCGGACCGAGTGATGTAATGTTTTTTTGTGTTAGGAGGCCCGACCAACCGAGTCATTGTATTGCCCTGGAGAGATACGTAAAAAGGGAGGCGATAAGCACCGCCTTACCTCCCTAGGACAATAAAAGTACGGGGTTAGGGCGGACCGAGTGACATAAATGATATAATAAGGAAACATACCGTTAAAGGGTGGCAGAGAAACCAGACAGATCCCAATACGAGTAACGAAGCGTAGAAACGAAATTTAGTTGTTGATTTCCTGCTCGTTCTCCAACAACATAATACAAATATGCCCCATACGAAAATCCTCAATGCTAAGAGAGCCAGTCCAGGTGGTGACTCATAAATATAGAGCACTAATCCAGGATCAAAAATGGCAGATTGATATATAAAAAGAGTAAGTTGCAATACAATAAGAATCCCAACAAGTGAAAAAAGGTATTGGGTCTCTTTCCTTGTTAATGAACTTTTAGTAACGGTGTAACCAAGAGCGAGGAGAAGAAGAAGTAGAGTGAAATCAGTTTCCGCTCCGGATTCGTAAAGTCTACCCATTAGTAATGCCTGATGTGCGTCGAAACCAGTGATGCCCTGATGAGAATAGCTATAAATCTCACAACAAAGTCCAGCCAATTGGAAAACGATTGAAGCAATATACAGACGATATGTTACGTGAAGTAAACGTCGCTGCCGAAGTTGTACTGCGATGTAGATACTGAGACACAGCAAAATAATATAAATGGAGCCGGCTGCTATCAAAATTGGCAAAATATCTGAAAAATGACAAACAGAAATTAAGCAATTACAAAAATAATGCATTAACTCATGCGATGAACAATCCTGTTCTTAAGAATAGGTATCAGTATATTTTGAGGATATAGGGTGGGGGTAAGCTTTAAAGGGCCCTACTCAGGGTTTCAACTGTTGGTAAATAAAAAATAATACATGAAAAAATCAGAACATACTATGAATATCAATAGCATGCTTTTTCATTTTTTATCAGACCCCGTGAGGTAACGCTTCACGACCGCTGCGCGCGGCAAGTGAAACTCATAAATAATGGATATTTTGAGTTTTTTTCCTTATATTCCGGCCCTTCCTGCCCTTTATGGCTAATTGGCCCTATCAAACCCTATGCATGCGGTTGGGGATCCTGGACTGTACCGTATTCATTCTCCTATGGAACATAGGAGTGATAGGGAAACCACAGGAAAAACCATGGCGGTAAAGGTATCCCCGTAGCGCCCCGTAGCTTGCCTTCAAACTCATACTAAAAATTCGATGATATTCGTATGTTTTATTCCATTCATTGATTCGTTTTTATGAACATAAACTGACTTTTTATAAAGAATAATAGAACTTTGTGGATACTAGAGGTTATTTTTGTTGATAGATGTGCGATCCACTTATTAGTATTAGACAAAAAGGAAAATTCTGTCGTAAGTAAAAATTGAAAAAGTAGGACTTACAAAACTCATCAGCTGAGAAATGTTCCCTCCAGAAACTACCTGGTGAGCCATTAGTCAGGGAAAGATCGAAAGTGACATTGAGCCCATTCTGTGAAGAGCAGTCAGCGAGAGCAATAAACCACCATCTCGGCCTGGCAGACTTGAACAAGCGATAACTAGTGCATTGAGCTTTACTCCACGAGTCATTAGTTTTGCTACAGCCGGATATACTTGAAGTTTCTACATTAGCCGAGAGTGGTACAATCTGTCCATAATCAGCTTTAAGGATTGACTGTTTCTCTTCGCAAGATTTATTTGATGGATAAACACTGGGCCACTGATTCGGAGCATCGTAGTAAAGCAACAAGTTCAGCATTGACTCTTCATTTTGACTTCCGCCAATAATGAAATTATATTTGAACATCCCATGTTCAGTTAGGAAACAGAATCTAGTCAGAAATGCCCAATTCTTGAAGGAAAAGAAAATACATCAATGGTCGGTTATCATCCAATGAAACGCGATGAATGAATGTTATTAGTAAGATAATCAATAGATGATAATGTTTAAAAATGCATGAAAGATCGTGTATATTGCTCGAAAGAAATACTTGTGCTGTGATGAGTCGACCACGAAGTATTTTCATCTCTACGTTCAACACAAGTAAATGAAATACAGTTGCTACAAGGAATACTCTGAAGTTCTCCATGTTTATTCCATACAGATATAATACGTGGTACACCAAGAATGAATCAATAGCATTTCCCGACTGGTAAACGCATAAACTACAACGACGAATAAGCGAGGTAGTACACTACTAACTGGGGGTCAATGTTGGGTGCTATAATATTGTGCTCTTCTGTGCGTCAAATCGACAAATGAACTATGTGTAATTTACATGCACTGCACATAGATATCAGCCTTTTTACGTTTCAACCCCGTAAGATTATGATTCGACTCCACTTTGAACAGCAATAGAGATTTTATAAGCACTACTATTTATGAATTATATCGTTACATATATGATATCATCACTGCTGAGAAATACATATTTACCTGATCTCAGTGAAGAATACATCAACCAATCAATCGATCCCTCTTAATATTAAATCATCCGTGGATCTCCATTATTTGTATTAACATCCTTCATCTAGGTTACTTTTTAGGTCCAGTTTGTCTCTCTGAACAGCGTTAAATGGTGTTTACGTTTAGGTTCTCGATAATTTCAATAAACACCGTTCTTCAACGATTCATCCCTTAATAATTACTAAAAAGTTTTTTATTTGCTAAGAGAGATATAATCTTCAATACTACCAATATGCCAACACCACTGAAATATACTCTCATCTTTCTATATATTATGAGTCATTTGATCTATCTCCATTAGATTTCAAGCCATTATAAAACATGGAGTTAAACATAAACAATTGGGAATTAATTGTCTATAATTGATCATTTTTATTTATGTACGTACATTTTTGTGTAAGATGTAACACGCTTAAAGTCATGGAATTTCAGTGGACTACAAGCAACATCGTGGGATGATGAACGGAGAGAAATATCAAAGAAAATTACGGAACAAGTCACGTAATCTACCAGGGAGGATCTTTTTCAGTTAATTTCTATATGGGCACGAACAAGAATGAATCTGAGATCTGCAGTAAATTCGCAGGTTTGTAACTAAAAAGGCACGGGCAGGCCCTTAATTCTTCCCTCTAGTGATATCAGGTGGAAAAATTTAAGGCAAATTTCTTGATTTAATACGTCGCAGACCGTGAGAATTCAGATAAAAGTTCAAAAGTATTACGGAACTGGCAAGAAATTTCTACGAAACGTCCCGTAAATTTTCACTGGTGGGATGTGTTATCTCACCTCTTACTCCCACTCATGATTGATCGGACATTCTCGGATCATTACGGTAAACCTAAACAAGTAGACGGTGCCGAACGGAGGTATGAGGGAAATTGTAGTGATTGTGCAATGAAATAGTCCAATTGAAAATTAGGGATAATTCATTGTAAGTATAAGTTCCATTTTTGGCCATTCCTCAAGTAATTAAAATCATCTAGGACGTGACTCCATGGCCGACTTTCTCAAATAATTCTCTCCATTGTATTCTAACCTCAAACACCCATATGTTTCAAGCATCATTAACACGTGGGTGCAACTTTTATGCAGAGAGTTATTTTTTAGACCATCCAACACTCCGATTGAGTCGATTGAGTTAAGAGTTATAAGTGACTAGCTCCTTGTAAGCAATTTATTATAGGTTGTGACGTGGCAACTAGGTTTTTCCCTGTTTCCTTATCATGAAAGCAGAGATACGTAAATGAAGTTCGCCTGAGTCGAAACTCGTAAGACTGACTTCTTATTGGTCAACTCGAATCCAAACTCGAATTCGAATTCGGCGCACGGAGTGCGCAGTAGATCTCGTAATAATAATTTCCAATTGTACAAAAATAATAATTAGATTTCTTGCAAATCTCCGAACTATTCTTACTATATTGTTCCCCATGATTTCCCTAGGCTGTGGGATACTGAATGTATTATTTTTACGGAGGATTGCTCAGATGATCGCGAGTGAAACTTAATTGATTTTGATTTCTTCAATTTCACCAAAAAATGCGAAAATGGCGACGCTGAGGACCACAGCAATACTTTTGGCTTTCCTCGGATTTTCCCATACTGTCTTGTACAAGGTACAGATTGAAATCCGAAAAAATGCTTAACAATATCGCACCTAATTCGCCCTGAAGAAACTTCTAATTCTTCGCATGGAATTCCTCACAATATTCTCTCAAAATATGGAGCTTCTGCAACAGTGTAATTAACATCGTACTTACAGCGGGACACTCCTCTCAACAATTTAAGGCCCGGGGGGAGGGATTTTTGCCCGACATATCCCTAGGAAATTCCCTAGAAAAAACGCGTTTTACGGGGACATAAATGCCCGCCCCTGTAGACCCTCAAAAAATATAATCGTAGGGTCAATCGACAGATAATTATTTTTGCCGGGCCGGTAATTAGCTCTCGGGGGTGGGAAATTGAGGAATGAACGTGTAAATTACGTTCAAAGAAATCCCCTAGATTTCACCAAGATGAATTCTCCAATGGTGGTTTGGGGGAAAATATGGCGACTCAATCACTGCGGGATAAAAACAGTCCCCACAATTTACACATCCACTTCTCACTCGCGACACCCAATTACCGGCCCGTGAACACAATTATTACATTTTTCGCGATTTTTCCCGGAAAGATTCGATGCACTGAACGCCCGTAATTTTTGTCCGCGAGTACGAAGGGATCAGCTGTCAATTTTAGGGAAACTAAGTTTAGGCAGATGGCGATAGTGGGACCTCTCAATCTCGCAGAGGCAAAAATGAGTTTCACGGTAAAAGTGATCTGGAGCGTACGAAGGAGGGGCACTTACTGGGGGGCTAATATCCCAATGGGGGGATACGAATAAATGGTGTTGGGAGGGTGAATTTTTAAATTAGGGGTTAGACAGATGCGTCAAGGTAGAGGGTGGGTGTAAGGGTGAAACTGCGACTGAGAAAGGGGTGCGTGTATAAACATGGTGTTTATAGTCATGGTTAGAGGTAAAATGAAGGGATGAAAATGGGATGAATGCTTGCAGGAAATCGGGGGGTTTCACGGTGAAGGGACAAAATGCTTCTGGATAAAATGGAGGGTTTTTACATCCTCATTAACACATTTCCAAGATGGCCGAAAGGGTAAAAGTCTATACAAGGGTGAAAAAAAATATCTCCACAGGGGTGGGTAAATCGACTCAGGGGGTGATTCTGAGTCGATCTGTACCCATAAATTTCGACCTTTTTTTTCACCCTCATTAACCCTCCTTCAAGATGACCGATGGGGCAAAAAAAAGTCTCTACAGAGGTGAGTAAATCGACTCAGGTGGTCATTCTGAGTCGATCTGTACCGATAAATTTCAACCTTTTTTTCCACCCTCACTAATAGATTTCCAAGATGCCCGACGTGGTAAAAGTCTATACAGGGGTAAAAAAAAATGTCTCCACAGGGGTGGGTAAATCGACTCAGGAGGTGATTCTGAGTAGGGTTGAGGGTGGAAACAGTGTGTCATGGTTCAAAGGAGGTTGATGGTGGGATGAATTAATTCGGTAAAAATTATGGTTGATGGTGGAATGAATCATGGGGAAAATGAGGGTTGATGGTGGGATGAGTGCATTGGAAGAAATGCAGAGTTCAGGCTGGGGTGAGTTTGTCAGAGTAAAATGGGGGTTGGTGGTGGGATTAGTCATGGAAACAACGAGAGTTGATGGTGGGATGAGTGAATGTCACAAAATGGGGGCTTGAGGCTGGGATGAATACATGAGAGAAACTGAGGGGTTGAAGGTCGACTGAATTTATCAGGGTGGGTTCGGGTTTGAGGGTGGGATGAGTGTTGCAGGGTGAAATGGGGATTGATATTGCGATGAGTCATTGGAAAAATCCCCATTTCTGCCTGACACACTCATCCCACCGTTAAGCCCCTATTCTTTCCCATCTACTCATTCCACAATCAATCCTCATTGTTTCCATGACTGATCCCACGGTCAACTCCCATTTCACCCTGATACACTCATCCAGGTCACAATCTTTCATTTTTTCTCCATACACTCATCCTAGGCCCGACGTTTATTTTTCCCATGCACTCATCCCATCATCAACCCTCATTTTCCCCATGACTCATTCCACCCTCAACAATCATTTTTTCCGAATGAATTTATCCCACCATGAACCTCCTTTGCACCCTGGCACACTTTTCCCACTCTCAACCCCTAATTTATTTCCAATGCACTCAGTTCACCTTTCCATTTTTATTTTTTTCCAATTCACTGATTGGACTCCGCAACTCCGTCTAATCATTCCGTGAATCAATCTAGATGCACCTGTGGACCCTTTTTTTACCCCGTCGGCCATCTTGAAAATGTATTAGCGAAGGTGAAAAGAAAGGTCAAAATTTATAGGTATGGATCGACTCAGTATCACCGCCTGAGTCGATTTACCCGCCCATGTAAAGACTTTTTTTTTACCCCATCGGCCATCTTCGAAATGTATTACGGAGGGTGGAAAAAAAAGGTCGAAATTTATAGGTACCGATCGACTCAGAATCACCCCCTGAGTCGATTTACCCATCCCTGTGGAGACATTTTTTTTACCCCTGTGCAGACTTTTACCCAGTCGGGCATCTTGGAAATGTATTAGTGAGGGTGGGAAAAAAAGGTCGAAATTTATAGGTACAGATCGACTCATAATCACCCCCTGAGTCGATTTACCCACCCCTGTAAAGACTTTTTTTTTACCCCATCGGTAATTTTGAAGGAGGGTTAGTGAGGGTGAAAAAAAAGGTTGAAATTTATAGGTACAGATTGACTCAGAACCATCCCCTGAGTCATTTACCCACCCCTGTAAAAATTTTTTTTTTTACCCCTTCGGTCATTTTGAAGGAGGGTTTGTGAGGGTGGAAAAAACAGGTCGAAATTTATCGGTACAGATCGACTCAGAATCACCCCCTGAGTCGATTTACCCACCCCTCTAAAGACTTCTTTTACCCCATCGGCCATCTTGAAGGAGGGTTAGTGAGGGTGGAAAACAAAAGTCGAAATTTATAAGTACAGATCGACTCAGAATTACCCCCTGAATCGATT